CGCCTCCCCGCTCACGCCTCCGGGCGTTGACGTCCACACACCGGGCGCCGCACCCTGCGCCCGCCCCCGCAGGTGCTGCGGCCCCGCGCGCCGGCCCGCGAGGCAGCAGCGCCCGCCTTCCTGCCTGAGTTCCTGAAGCGCGCCTGCGCCTGCGCTGCCTCGAGGGGGCGGGGCCCGACCCGCCCTCTTAAAGGGCTAGGTTCCTCTTACTTCTCCCCGTGCCCTCTGTCTTCGGTACCCCGCCACTCCCCGGTCCTCGTTGCACCCGTCTCTTATCCCAAAGGCCCTGCTTGCGCCTTCCTGTGATGCCAGAAAAGGAAGGAGAGGTGAAGCCGAAGGTAGGGCGTTCGCACTGAGGAGGTGTGGTCAACCACTCCCTATGAAGGAGCACTTAAATAGGAGTCTCGAATTCTAAGTAGTTCGCTGCTGCCGACTTACCATGTAACAGTGTAAAAAGTCTCTTCCGTTTCACCTCAGTTGCTTCGTTTCTAAAATGGGAAGGTCAAAATGGAAAGTTGACAAAGTCACAATCCATTAAGTGACTTGAGAGAGGGATTCTAGTAATCTCTAAACTGCTGCCCAGAGTCCTAGTAACCTGGGTCACCCCCACCCTTTCCCTGAGGCCAATGGAGGGCAGAGGGTATTGAAGGTTACTTAAATGAGGAAGATCTGATCTCGGGCCTGGACATTCATTTCCTGCTGGGAACACAGGCAGAAAGCTCCAAGGTAATGGGACCTTACTCCCTGCTCCACTGCTCCCTCTTAGACCCTCTTCTGCAAACCCCGAAGATAGAGAAAATTCCCAGCCCCGCCTACCAGTGATAGTGCAGCCTGCCAACCCAAATCCCAGCCCAACTGGAGGCAACCTTGGGCTGTGAAGTTTAGAACCCAAAGAATTGCGGTAAGTAGGCCCTGTTACTGACTATATCTCATCTATAAAATGGTTATAATAATAAAACAACTTCAGACAGAATTGTCCCAAAAGTCAGATATAGAGATCTATGTAAGGATGGCACTTTCTGCACTCCCATTGGGCCCCAGGACCCTGGCCAGCAGACAATAGGGCAATAAAAGAGGACGGGTTCCAGACGCCAATGCGGGGGCTGGACTAGGTGGATTTGGGTTATGGTATCTTACCCTGTGAGGTGGGCAGGGCAACTTTCTAGTAAATCATTTGATAACAGTTTGTGTAACAACTGCCCCTCTCCATGGAGCCAGGGCTGCTGAGCAGGAGGTAAATGCACCCCTAGCTGGACTAAGAGAAGGTTTAAGGCAGGCAGGACTCTGGGCACAACCAGGTTAGGATTTTCTTCCTTGTTCCCTGGCCTCAGAGGAGAAAGTCAGGGGGAAGGAATCTGAGGGGGGCCCTCTCCCTGACCTCCCTCACACTACCTCAGAATGGCAATTGCTAAGAGTAAGGCCCTGCACTTGGCATTTATTCTCATCCAGTCCCCACCACAATGTAATGAAGTACACATTTTACAGATAACAGAACTGAAGCTCTATATGGTTAAACTAACTTGCTCAGGGTCATACAGCTGGTAGTAGTGAAGCCGGGATTCAAATCCAGTTTTCTGACTCCAAAGTCTGCTCTGAACCACTAAGGCATAACAAAGCAACGCCAAACACAGGAGCTTCGCTTTGGGAAGCATTCGTTCTGACTAGATGTAAACAACTGATTGGAGCAAGTTTCTCTGTTGGTGAATCAAACTCCAGATCAAACAAAGCAAGGGGTCAAAGCACTTGCATCATGGTAGGTCCTGCTAAGTGATCCTCTTAGAGGAGCCCAGCTCACTGTTCTCTCACCTCTCCAGTTGCCCTCAAGAGCCAGATCCATGCCTCTTACATCCTTAGCACAGGGTTATCTGGAGCTTTAGGCCTGCAGAAAAGAGGCCTCCTGCTCCCTTCCCCCATCCTGCCTAGTCTCAGCTCCTGGACTGTTCCCACCAACCACCACGTTGAGTGCTGGGACTATGCTAGGAGATGTCTCTGAGGCTGTCTCCTTCTCTGCACTGTTTTGTGACTCTAGCACTAGAAGCTGTGGAGACACCTTGGGAGACTGCTCTGTCCCCAAGGAGCTGAGAGCATAATGGAGGAAATGAGACACAGCCTAGAAGCATAAAGCTCAGAAGATTCAGGAGGTGACTGTGGGGATAATCCCAACCCTCTAACATGCCTGTGCCAATCTCCTCCCAGATCTGGAACTTGAGCAGAGTTGCCCATAGCAGAGTGACTGCAGGGAGAAGGGCTTGTCAGGTCTAGTTCTAAGCAGAGGCAGACCAAGCTGCTTGAGGGAGGCTTGTGGTGGTGCCCTTACAGAATCTCCGCCTTCAGATGGTTGCACTGCAGGGTAAGCAGGAGGGCAAGGAAGGCAACTGTGGGGTGGTGACGGGCAGCCTGGCTCACACCTGCAAGCAGGTGCTCGGACAGAGTGGTGGATGCTGTTGAGTGATTGAGCTAAAGGTTTTTATTTGTTTTGTTTTGTTCTGTTCTCTAAAATAGAGCAATATTTTTTAAACCACTTTTGCAACCTGTTAATAGGAGGTGAACTGAATTTAGTGGTTTTGACTGGCCCTTTTTTTTAATGAAAGAGGACAGTAATGGAATAGAAAATATCACAATGTAATTTTTTGAACTTTTTTTGAAGTATAACATCCATCCAGAGAAGTGCAAAAACATGCACATTTTACAAAGTGAACATACCCAGCACCCAAATCAAGAAGCAACATAACTAACATCTGGAAGTCCTCCCAAATGTAATTTTTAAAAGAAATTTTATTATATTAATCTTCTAGCATGCCCTTCATACGCGTAATTTATTTTTAACTTTCTGACAACCCTTCCCCCCTGCCCCCCCCCACCACACACAGACAGAATGTAAAGTCCAGGAAAACAGGATGTTTGGGAATAGCCTAACACGCATTTTAAGTGTCAACAGTATTTACTGAATGAATGAATGCATTGAAGGTAGTAAAAGTATTGCTTTGTGACATTTTTGTTTCATTATATATACACATATGCACTCTACATCTTGATATGAAATCAGTTTCTTTTCTATAGGTCATAGTCAAAAACGTCTAACTATAGTCAAAAACTGATCCAGCATGAGAAAGTTGTGGAGGCCGTGATTCAGGCCAGGACAATGAGCACAGGCAAAGCATAATGATATACTAACTAAATCCAGGCTTCTGGAGCTTCAGTGTGCTACTGAATGACCTGAGGATCTTGTTGATATGCAGACTCTGATTCAGCAGATTGGGAAGAGATGCTGAGAGTCTGCATTTCCATCTACACTTTGAGGAGCAAAGCCTTGGACCCTAGAGCTTTTCGGTAGTGCTGCACTTAAGAATCACATGGGAAGCTTTTAAAAACTCTGATGCCCAGGCCCCACCCCCCAAAAAATTAAATTGGAATCTCTGGAGTGTGGCTCAGCATCCACAGTTTTTAAAAGCTCCCCAGGTGATTCCAATGTGCAACAAGAAATGGCAGGTGCTTGGTTCCCCAGTATCCCCGCAACGCCTAGAAAATGCCTGAACTGAGGCAGGAGGGAAGGGAGATGTGGGATTAGCACCGGTATGTGAACTGACGATCTGATTTGGCAAAGGACAAAAGATTTTTTTAGTCAGGAATGGACCATTTGCCTCTTAGTCGAGGCGAAGGGAGGGATATCTGAAGGAATTCTTAGGCATAGGGCTATTTGCTTATACAGGCCGTATCATCCCGGGACCAAGAACAGACCGTGACTTTACTCTGCCGTGCAAGTCAGAGGTCCCTGGAGCTGCTTAGGGGGCGGGCTCACATGCCTCCAAGGAATACACATAGTTTCAAAACCGTACTAGGGCATTTGGGTGATGGCGCTGCCTGCGGCTCTCACGTTCCGCTGCCCCGCGCAGCTAGAGAAAAGGCCAAAAGAGCCAGTAGATTCCAAACCCTGGGTACTGACGCCCCCTGGCGGACATCTAGAGTTGAAGTTGGTAACCAATAAATGTACCAGTGGCCACAAGGTACTCATCTGTGTGAGTCCAAGTCAGTGCCAGGCACAATCATATAAGACATGGCCCAGTATGCATAATCAAGAAACTGCTAGTGGGGAAGACAGGACAAAACTTATGAAGGACTGGCTCCTTTTATTCTTTACTTACTCCTTCTTTACATCTATGAAATCTGGCTGCCCCTGGAACTCACTGTACTAAGTTTAGAAATGAGGAGCAGTCAGGCCTTACCCTTAAATGGTGAGGTATTTTTTCACTTTTGTACCTCTCTGCTGTTTTTCTCTCCTTCTTTATTTAAATCTCCCCATTTGTAGTGTAGACACAGTGCATCCTTAGCTTATTGTTTTCAGATAATATAGCTACTTGGTTAAATATAGTATGCAGTAGTAAAACAGTAGAACTAGCTTAGATGTTCCTTAAAAGGGGACTGATAAGACAAAGTATGGCATATCTATGTAATGTATAATATACAATATTTTTAAGTGTATTTTAAAGCATAAAGTACATTTATTTGTGTAGATATGAATCATTCAAGATCTATAAGT